AACAGGAGGAAACGAGACATAAAAGAAAACAAAAGAATCAAAGATGCATGAATTTACACACTCAGGAGTCCCATAGAAATACTAAACTGGAAGCTATAATACATACACAGAAGACTTGGTACAGACCCGTGCAGGCCCTGTGCTTGCTGCTTTAGTTTCTGTGAGTTCATACAAGCTTCTTTTCCCAGCTGATTTAAGGGCCTTGTTCTCCTGCTGTCAGTCATCCCCTCTGACTCTTACATTTTTCCCGACTCTTCATCCACAAGTCTCACCGAGGGGAATAATTTGATGGAGACATCACATTCAGAGCTGTATGTTCCAGAGTCTCTCTGTGTAATGTCTGAATGTGGGTCTCTGTATTTGTTCCCCATCTGCCACAGGAGGAAGCTTCTGTGCTGATGGTTGACTAAGGCACTGATCTATGGTTATACACAATGTCGTTAAGAGTCATTTTATTGACACATTTTTTTTTTAGACCCATAGTATTTGGTTTTACCCGAGGTCTCTGAGTCAAATAAGACATTGGTTGGTTAATTCCACAAGCTTTGTGCCACCATTGCTCTAGCATATTTTGTAGGCAGGACAGATAGTAAGATAGTAGATCAATGGTTTTCTGTCTAGGTTGGTGTTTTTTTGTTTCTTTTTTTAATATTTGAGAGTATGGAGATGAGAATCAGGACTTACGAATACTTACTAAATGTAACATGAGGGCCAACTTGTTGGGGTATCTGTTCCCGCCCGGTACCCCAAAGTCAACAAGTCCCAGAGAAAATCAATGACACAGAAATCTCTATAAGTTATAAAGCTGATTGGCCCATTAGGTCAGGCTACTTATTAGCTCTTATAACTTATGTTACCCCATTATCCTTATCTACATTAGCCACATGGTTCCGTACCTTTCTCAGCTGGGCAAGTTACATGCTGCCTCTTCGGTGGTCTGTGCAGGAATGGCAGAGGGAGCTTCCTGCTTCGTAGAATACTCCCAGTCTCTTTGCTCCACCTCTACTTCCTGTCTGGTTGACCCACCTATACTTCCTGCCTGGCCAATCAGCGTTTTATTAACATACATGGTTACAGAATACAGATAATTCTCCCACACCATTTCCCTCGTCCTCTCCGGTGGTCTGGGCAGAACTGCAGAGGAGCTTCCTGCTTCCCAGAATACTTCCAGTCTCTTTGCTCCACCCCTACTTCCTGTCTGGCTTTCCCACCTATACTGCCTGCCTGACCAATCAGCGTTTTATTAAAATATAATTGACAGAATACAGACAATACTCCCACACCAACTAAAAGGACAAGTATCAGCACAAGACACCCCAAGACGAACTTCTTAGCACAGAGGATATTTATTTGCCCTAGAGGGACAAAGGACAGGAAGTAAGAAACAAAGATGGGAGGCAGAGGAATGGGTCTTAAGAAGGGGAAAGGGACAAGAGAAGGGGCAGGGCTATTTACCCTGGAAGGTCAAAGGACTGCTTCTGGATAGAGAGGACACAGATGTGGCCCATGGGCAAACAGCAATTTTTAAAGGGAAAGGGGGGGCGATGTGTTGGAATGAGTGTTTTATTTTGATTGTGCATGTTAATTAGATGAGCCGAAAGGGGAGTTTTGATCACTCAACTTCAATACCTTGAAAACTGGACCTTGGTAGTTGATGTAGGAGTCCCCTCTGTGTGCTGTAATTATCATTAATGAATAAAGAAACTGCCTTGGCCTGTTGATAGTGTAGAACTTAGGTAGGCAGAGAAGATTGGACTGAACACTAGGAGAAAGAAGGGCAGAGTCATATAGATGCCATGGAGCCGCAGGAGGCAGACATGCTGAAATTTTAGCTGGTAAGCCGCTGTCACGTGGCAATACACAGATTACTAGAAATGGGCTTACGAATTAAGATGTAAGAGTTAGCCAATAAGAAGCTAGAGCTAATTGGCCAAGAAGTGATTTAATTAATATAGTTTCTGTGTGATTATTTTGATTCTGGGTGGCCGGGATGAACAAGTGGCCCCATGAACAAGTGGCCCCTTCCCTCTAATAGGTAGACAGCCTCAGAAGAAGGAAATGTCCAAATAAGGGACTAGATCTTGGTGGCTAGCTTTAGGAGTGTGATTTAAAGATTTTTAGAAAGGCAGAGGGAATAGGAGAAGGGCAAGGCCTGCCAGAGCCGGGTTTACCATGCTGAAGCCTGCCAAAGCCCCTTCACTTTTGTCTTTGCAGAGCAAATGGATTCAATTCCAAGAACTCATATAGTGGCTCACAACCATCTTTGACTCCAAGTGTAGGAGATCCAGTGCCTCCTTCTGATCTCCTTTGGCATGAGGCTCATACATAATGCACATCCATACATGGAGGTGAAATATTCACATACATAAAATGAATTACGTCTAAAAAAATATTTAAATCCTTGTGAGAGGTTAGAGTATAGATTGGTGATAGAGGACCTGCTTTGTGGGTACAAGGTTCTAGATCTCACCCTCCACACTGAAAAAAATGAAGATGCACCGCATAATGTTTGATGCACATTATGTTTTGCTGCACACTTACACAGTGAAACAAAAGTAAGCCTTCATTTTCTAACACACAGAGAAGGCAACTAAAACTGAACTTCAGCACTAATGGTGTGTGACCTGAAATCAGAAGCTAGAAGACAGCATGGGGAATGAGTTTCTTCACACCGGCCTTGGTGGTGATTGTTTTGAGTCTCACACCAAATCTTGGAACAAAAGCAGGAGTAAGCGTGAGGCTACAGCAAGCACAGTAACCTCTTCACTGCAAGCGGAACAATTGCCTACCTGGGAAGACCCTGTGGGGAAATACATAGTCGATAAAAGGTTGACATCCAAGACATGCTTAAAAAAAATCACAGGATTCAACAGAAAAAAGGCAACTCAAATGAGATATAGGCAAAAAACTATGAATAGATACTATAAAGACATAAAGATGAGCAATGGGTGCTTGAAAAGGTGTTAGATATCACTTCTCAGAGAACTCCAAGTCACAGTATATGAGGTCACAAGTACCTCATACTTGTGAGGGTGGCTGATTCCAAGAGACAATTTGGGTTGGCTTGAGAGACAACAGCACCGCTATACATAGTTTGGTAGGGTTGCACTCCTTGTATTCAGTAACTTTATGTTCTGGAGATTTGTCCGTGTACTTAACCTCTAGAATTTAGGTCACTGGCTCAAAATTTTCTTACCCATTTCTCACTTTCAGTCATTCCCAGTTTTTACTAAAACCGCACTGCAGCTAAGGACAGTCTATCTATCTGCTCCCTGGGCAATGGGTGCAGTGTCTCTGGGGGTGCACAGTCAAACCTCAGTATCCAGGGGAACTGGCACCAAGAGCCTCCTGTATACCAAAACTGCATGAGCATTGAAGTCCCTTGAGTAAATAGGCTTCTGTTGCCTATGACATTTGCTGTCCTGTTCAGCACTTGTGGAAATACATTCTAAACATTGCTGGTAGCTTGTATACTGAATTATATAGAAGAGAAAAGCTATTTTAAATATTTAAAATGACTATCTTAAAAGCACATGTTCAGTACAGATGCAATATTCTTCAAATAATTAGTGGACCCCTCAGAAGCCAAACCAATAGACAGGAATATCTGGCTACTGCATTGTGGGAGTATAGAGTCCAAAGCATGAGCCACTACAACTTCAGGTCCAGCGTGCCTCTCAGACGACAGCTTTAAAGTTACTCCTTAACCCTCCATGCTGGCAGCCACGGGACTGTCCTTCAATTCAAGGACTTTATATAAATGGACTGGCACAGTACAGAGCTATGGCCCACAAATGCACCAAAGCGGCCTCCCCGCATAGTTGTTGTCGGGACTGACAAGTTTCTTCGGAGAATCACTAGGAAGTACTGAAAGCTTTTAGGTCACGTACTGCCTGCCACAACTACACAATGATCCCACTCTGCTGGAAGGCCGTGATAGTGTGAAGAAAGAGTGACTGAGTTTTCATAAATCTTTATGAGGGAACGAAGACAGAAACTTCATCATGTGTCACAAAACGCCCTTCTGCTTTGGACAACTTTGCCAACCTTTTGAAAGTGTGAAGCATCTAGTTTGGTGACCCAGACCTATAATTCCAACTATTTAGAGGCTGAGGCAAGGCCTACCTGGGCTAGGGAGTGAGCAAATGGCTAGCCTGAGAAACAGGTTCTCAGTCAGAACCTGTCATGAAATTCAAAACTGAGCGACTAGAAAACATATACCCTTAGCTAGGAGGTTGACAATTGGCTTTGTTACTCACCACGCCCCTCTTTTGGCATGGGTTTGCTCAGTGGAGCTGAGCTGGTGGCCAACAGAGCCTCAGGGATCTGCCCATTTGCATCTCTCCCCTCAACTGTGCTGGGGTAACAGGCATACAACTGCCACTGGCAACCCTTGCACAGGGGGAGGGCTTGGGATTTGAACTAAGGTTGTCACGCTATACGGCCAGCACGTTTACCCTTGGGCCGTCCCTGTTTTATATTTTCTAGATATTAACCCTTTGTAATATGCATTGTGCCAAAGTCCTCGGGGCCCAGCAGGAATCACTTCGGTTTTGTAAAGTGTGTGTGATTTCTTGTGTGGTTGGTTGGTTTTTCTTGTTTTCAGTGTTTGAAGATAGGGTCTGGTTTTATAGCCCAGTCTCTTGCTCGGTAGTCCAGGCTTCCCTTCAACTCAGTCCTACTTCAGTCTCTGAGTGTTGGTATTTTAGGCCACTACACCTGGATTGAAAGTGTCTTTTGAAGACACGTTTTCAATTTTAGATAAAATAAATTTAATCAAGCAGTACTTGACTGGGAATGTAATTATGTCCTCGGAGAACTTGGAAGGCAACAAAAGAGAAAAGAAAAAGATTACTTTCCTGCCTACAAAAAAGGAAAGTCTGTCTTCATCGGGTGGGAGCAGAAGAAAGTTCTCACTGTTCTCCGAGACTCTTCAGGACAGTAGTTGAACGCAAACGGCGTATCCGGTTGCGCAATCCATTGTTCTATAGTGCAGAAAGTAGCTTTGAAAGCCCTGCTGTGGCCAGGGCTGCCTGGAGGCATGCATCTGATATTAATGAAGTGTTGCTCTGCTTTGACAAGTTTACAGGCGTCTCTCTTCTGAGCCAGCTGACGTAATTCAAAGTAGGAAAAGACCCTCCCACTTGGCATTTGTTCACTGGCTGTGATGGGCTCCTCTGCCTCGCTTGAAGTGGTCCCGGAATCAGAGAAAGCTCTTGACATCTGAAGAACTTTAGAAAGTCACGAAGTCATACTGACTAAGGATACACATCTCAAACCAGCAGGGAAAACTGTAGCGTGTGGTATTTTCCTCATCAGCACAGCGAGACTCAGCCACCTTTAGCTGGTACCTGGTTCTTGCGCCTGTCGACTATTTCTCCGAAGTTCTGCTCACTTTTGGAACTGGTCTGGAATGCTTGACAGGCACCTTGTGTCTTCTCAAACTCAATGCAGTATTCCTGGGGTAAGCGGACGGGGGCTGGGGGCGGGGGCTGTCCAGACGAACTGTGTGCTCTGCAGAGAAATGGGAATGTACCGTGCTTTTAATGACACTAACTGCTGTGCTGTGTAAAAAGTTTCCTGCCTTGCCAAAATATCACATGCATTGTGCTTATTTGAATACTGAGGTGGGTTAAGTAACAAAAACAGTAACTCTGGTTTTAAACAGTCTTTATGAGATTCCATTAGCAGCTCGGGCAGGGCGTTACGGTCAGGCGAGCTTGTTGGAGACAAAATATGCTTTCTGTCTGCAAGCAGGTACTTGTTGAAGACCCCTCTGACAGCTTGGGCACTGGACTTTTAACTTCTTTCTTCTTGAGACCTTCCTAAAAATCCCGATGCTTTAAATTCAAGTGTTAAAAACAAATTAAGATTGTATTTTAGTCTATCTTTTTTACATTTTGAATATATAAAGTTCAGACAAGAGAGCCTACTGTTTAAGACACTTAAAAGTGTGGCACCTTACCACACAAAGACTGTCAAGTGTTTTAGATTCAGGACTTTTACAAAAAAAAGTCATATGTTATTAGTGACATTTTAAGCAAGTTTTTATAGTGTAATCTTATAATAATCATCAAGTTATTATGCATCAACAGCATCATCTGAGACTGGGAATAATGACATCTGTGTTTAAGGAGAATTTTCAAGCAAATTGTATTATTGGTGATGTTATTATTTTCCTTTTTCCTGAGAAAAACTTTGGAAAAACAAACAGCACCAACAATTAAATTAGAGCTCGTAAATACCAGCCATGAGCTTACAAATACATGTTAATAGGATACACAAATATTTGATAATCAATTAAATTCCGATTGCCTAAAAGTTCTTGCTAGATTTCCTTATTGTTTCAACCTACACCTCTCTTGGTTCAAGAGGGAAAAATACATGTTAAAAAAATAGTTGTGTGGTAACCATTTGTTCTGAACTCTGTCACATAAAAGTACCAGCACAACCACCAAAGTCGAGGGCCCTTGGCTTCATTCTGTGTGATTCATAACTAGATTACTTTTTATGTTTTCTAAGGATACAGAGCTTGCTCCTTCTGTTGGCACACATTCAGTTTTGCATATGTGCAGGTTGGGGATGAAACTCAGTGGTAGAGTCCTTGCTTCACTTGCACAAGGCACTGGGTTCAGTCCCCAAGGCTAAAAGTAAAATTGTCTGTACTGTGACTTATATTCCTTCTGGCTCTGACGTGGCTGCCAACTTATTCACCAATACAAAGGGTTTCTGGATGTTAGAAATAATTCATTTACCAATTTTTAAGATGTTATGTCTGATAGAAAAATTAGTCAATACTTCTTTTGCTGTTCCTACTTTCAGTGACATCTGGAATTATTGTCGCTAGTAAGCTTCCTTGCTTTCTAAGAACAGTCTCAGAAGTGAAATAGCTACTTCATTTTTTCCTACAGGGAAATATTAACTAGGAAATTAGCACTAACAAGCGATAATGAACTTTTACAACTTATAGTCTGGACTCTACGTGCGTTCCGTTTGTACTTAGAAGCTGGGACGATGGTGTCATGATTATTTAACAGTAGTGGCGATCTGTGTGACTCTAAATGGGTAATTTATCTTATAGTTTACTTCACTCTTGTCTTGAAGTCCTGATGAATCGGCCTGAGGAGGTTTGTCCTTTGAAACTTCTTTCCCAAGCCCTGGATCTCTGTTCCCTAGGTTTTTATTGTTGTTTGGTTGATTTAGGGGGCAGCATCTTTCTATGTAGTCCAGGCTAGCCTACAACTCACGTTCTTCACTTTTCAACCTACCACATACTGGGATGACAGACAAGCACCACCACACCTAACTTGTTGATTTTTGAGGCAGGGCCTTACTGTTTTGGCCACCTTGGCCTGAAACTCGCAATCTCCTTGCGTCAGCTGCCTGAGTCCCTGAAATCTTGTTTGATAGATATGTTGACATATGTGTCATTATGTGCATGTACGTATATGTTATAGAAAAGCTTTGAGACTGTCAAATGAGCTGCATGCTCTTTGTTTTTGCTTTAATCCATGTATGATTTGTGTTATATCTGGTTCTCCTGAAGATTTCAAATCCCAACTACATAAAGACAGATTTGAAAAACATTTAATTTTCATCTCACATTGAAATGAAATTGATAAATCAGTGCCTTTTGTAGAGATACCTTTTAGTACAAAACCCTACAAATGTATGTATGTATTTCAGATTCAGTGCACTTGCTGTTTCTCATGTATTCTGATCTTGCTGGTGTGTGAGTTACTTGAAAATGACTTTATCCAGTGGCTGCGTACCGTCATTGTTAAAGCAAGAAGGCTACTTCTTCTGCGTCTTTGCATGCTTCCCTCCATGGGACAGTCACCTCTCAGACATGCGCAAGCCTTTCTGACTCATTTTAAACAGTAACCAGAATGGTTTCTCTGACTTCAGTTTACAGCAAGTGTTTGCACCTGGTCAGTCTTGACACTGAATTCTATATATTCCCCTTACTGTATTTTGAGATTTGCAAGTATTTTGTCTGCATTTATGTCATCTGTAAAATTAAGAAGAATAATATACATTTGCAAGAGGATTTAAAGAAAATCAGAATGCATATAGACCCTGATTATACAGAATGGTGTTTGCAGTTATGAAAGGAATACAAACGTTCTTCCTGCATCTTCTGAAATGACTTGGAATGAAGGCACTTTCCTCTGTGACACAAACTGATATTCATGATAGGAAACAAGGAAAGTTAGGTCTTTGCTGGCTCAGAGGAGTAAGGGACCCCTGAAAAGGGGACTCTTCATTGGGTATCTGTGGCTTGTTTATCAGAGGGTAGGGCTGGGAGGGCCGTACAACCCTCTGAACCCGTGTAAACACATCAGCATATCAACCTTGGCCATTTACTGCTTTCCACTGATTCGCAAAGTTATCTTCATCCCCCGAACGGTGAAGAACAAGAGCTTAGGTATGGAACAAAGAAAATAATGGGAATTAAATATTCCAAGAGAACTGGCTTTCTAGAATAAATTTTCTTTCTCTTTCTTTATTCTTTTATGATTAGAGCAACTCAAGCAATCACTAGGGACAATAACGTCACAGCTATTCAACTGTAAGGCAATGTGATGGTTCATGTTGGAGGTTTAACCCTGTGGTTCCGTTCACTCCTGTTGCAGCATTATGGAGAATCTACACAGGGACATTTGTTCTTTTAAACATCTTTCAAAAGCCAAAACTTTTTGTTTCCTTAGGTCTGACTATTGCCCACTTTAGATTTTTATTGATTATTTAGTTTAGATTTAGGGAACATTAGCACATGAGCATGCATTTCCCTTTCTTTATGTATTTATGAAGGCATCTAATGGCTTAAGGCTACAGGTTTCTGTGTCTTTTTACAAATAAACTTTGAATTTAAATGCAAGCATGATGTCAGTAAGTCTTCATGGATTATAGAGGTGCCCAAAGATGCTGGCCTATTGCTGTCACCTTGTGACATTAAGTAATTGTCTTATGGGAGTGATGGTTTTGTGCACTCCTGACAGATTTGCCAAATTATTTTATTACTAAAGATTATAAACGTGAAGAAGCATTTTCCCCTTCAGAAATTACTTAAGTTACTACAGTTAAAAGTGGAAGAAATCTGAAGGAGATGCCATGGGTGTGGGGACGCCTCACCACAGCACAGTGCCCAGGCAGGCAATTAACACTGGCATGCTGCTGTCTAGTCCCGTTCAATAGCCGTGTGCATTTTGACAGTTGTCTCTGCAGTGCGTACGCTTTCATGGACTACCTTTGCCCTTCAGCCTGACATTGACATCACAGTTCAGTCACAGCGTGATATAATATTGAGTAGATTAGCCATTGTTTACCCAAATAAAGTTATCATTTGTTGTTGAACTTTTATATTTATGTATGCATACACAAGTGTGTGTATGTGCACATGTGCAGGCTCACGTATAGAAAACCGAGATTCGATATCGAGTGTCTTCCTGAAATTTTCTCCACTTTAGTTATTGAGACAATATTTGAGAGATCATTAAACCTCGAGTAATTATCAATTCAACTAAACTGGCTAGCCAATGAGCTTCGGGAATTAGTCTTCATCTTCCCGTACCCCAGAGCTGGAGTTAGGGACACATACCCCTGGTCTTTTGTGTGAGTGCTTGTGGTCTAAACTCAGGTTTTATGGCAATATGACAAGAACTTTACCAAATGAGCCATTTCTCTAGACACAGTTATTGGATTTCAGACCAAATCTGTAATTTTGTTTTTGTAGACAAACTTGTAGTAACAGTTGTAACTATATAGTTGTTGACCCCACTGAATAATTTCTGTGGGCTTAATTCTCAGATATGGGTGTATTTGCATCAATAGGTAGGTTTAAATGTTCTTATTCTCTCTGGCTGTGCCTTTGATATTTCTTGTTGAAATGATTCTATTGACAATGCTACTATCACAATATATTATCAAGAGTCTGAAGCAAAGGAACGTAAAAGCAGCCTGGGCGATATGGTAAGACCTCATTTAAGAAAATAAAATAAGTCAGTCTTATAAAACTCTTGACATTATTCAAATAGCAAAATCATTTAAATGATTTAGAGAGCTATTAAGTTTTACACAGAATCAGAAAAAAGCTACTTCCAACATAAGATGTAGTTAAATATGAGAAGTAATGTTGCCATACTTTTATGTTGTAGTTTTTCATTGTCAAGTACGGCCAAAGCCAAGGAAGCGTGCATACTCTGCACTGATTAGGGGCTAGCAGGGCTTGGCAAAGGGACCGTGTGGTCTGGTGAGTGTTCTCTTTTCTACTGGCCATTTAGAGACCTGCCTCTCTTCCGGTTAAGAGCTGGAAGCTCTTTTCGCTGTCTGGTTGAACCTGTAGCCTTCTGAATGCTGGCCAAGGGCTCTGTCACAGCTTTGCCCCAGCCACGAGAACTGGAATTTCCTATGTTGTTTCTTAGTAAGGGAAATCAAAGTTGTTGCTGTTTTGATCTTTGTGTA